GGGGATACCATATATATATATATATACATACATGCACATACGCACACAAACAGATACTATTGCACATGCACACCTCTGTGGGGCAAATGGCTAGGTGATAGACAAGGATTGCAGTGTTTGCAGCCTGTAGTATGGCTTCGCGCACAAAGCGCTTGAGGGCTTACAGACTTTGCCAGGACAGGCCTTGGCTGTACCGCGTGTCGAGAGCTGGCGAGGTGCAAGTGTTTAAAGATAAACAGATCGAGATAAGCATTGAGGATTTGGGCTTCGAACGCGAGGTATTGGTTTTCAGCCATTTAGGGTTGATTGAGATATGGCGCCCGCCAGTGTCGATGTTGCGGCGGCGGGAAGACATGGCAACATCCACCTTGCCGGGTATTTCTTCTCAGTGCTGACCGCAAGAGCATGCAGAAGTCATCATCATCGTCATCTACCCCCATCAGTCTTGAACAATACAATCAGTCTTGCCATCATCTTTGTCGTGACGAATGCCCGCACGCAAACCCTGATACTGCCACTGTCAGATCTGGTCCTTCCCTCAATGTTCAAGGAACTGAAAAAGTTCAAGTTCTGGTCCAGCTCTAAAATTCAAACACCATCTCAACAGAATGGGTATCGAAGAACTAGTCTTCACGTTCATAGGTTCTACGTCAGCTACCAAAGAAGATGACATTCCGAAGTCCAAAACCTTATTAATTAAAACAGAAAGCCACGTCAAACACACGTGTTTTACTCGAAAAACACTGGCCCTCATGACGTTGTGTACTCAATTAAAACCCTGAAGCCTCGAATAAAACTACCTGCCCTGAAACCCTAAACACCCTAAACTCCCGAAAGCCCAGAGGCCAAGCTCAACCCAGACACAGGATCGGTGAAGCTGATCGTTACCGAGCTGTCGCTCTGAATCTCGCTGCTCAGGCCTTGGCTGTGTACCGCACCTTTTTGGGGATAACATCAGATAACCGAGAAGTTAACCATGAACTGCATTTTGGAAGTGCCTTTTGAAGGAGTCTGACATGTTAAAGGTGGCGTTCGTATTTGTGGATGTCTGTGGGCGGAGAAGGGGGTGCGAAAGAGGGTCTCTTTGTCTGCATATTCGGCAAAAGCTTGTCCCGTAACTACTATCAGAAAGCCTTGAGTCAAGTCCCGCTTTCCAGTCAAGCCAAAATGCAACTGCATCCAGCCAGGCAGCAAGCAAGAGGAGATGGAGGGAGGGGAGGTGGTCAGGGTTGGGATTAGGGTCTGGGATGTGGGGGTCTAGGGTGGGTTTGGGGTCTAGCATGGGGCGGACAATCGCGGGACAGTGAGCTCAAAAAACACAACTGGGTACATGTCTAACCTGAATGGGTTACTCCAGCCCCAACCCTCAAGACTCTACAAGTTCAGACCGTGAAGAGTGGATCTTGTGGGTCAGGCATTCCAGCACGTTGGAGTTTTGTCGGACACAGTTCGGTACTTCTGAAATCGCCCTTCTCCAAGCGTTCTGGCCCTTCCGAACACTGGCCAAGATTCTTAAAGGGTCTATACCAAACCTCCTAGCACCCCACAACCAAACGATGTCGAGCCAAGAAGCAAAGATTGTCCCATGAGCGGATCTCGACCGGATGGTGCTGCAGCCACCATCTCTCCTGCTTTCGGATGGTTTCCCCAGATACGAGGCTGGACCTCAACAGTACACACCTCTGCTCGGCGGTATCGTACAACAAGCATGTACTGTTTTGTGTGTGTTTTCTGTGCGGGCCAGTTCCTTACATACTCTGCAGGCTTGGCACCTTTGCAAGTAAATCCTAGCTTGTGCACTGACTACTATACGCCATACGTTGTACATAGATTGGAGCACTGTGGAATGTGGCTCGAGGCTTCTTGCATGGGCCCAATCCCACGTGACAGTTTCTTTGGCAGGCGAACCGTACGTAAGCAAAACACAAAGGCCGAAACATCAAGCCTTGCATGGAAACATCTTCGTGCCGGCAGCAGCATGGATTTACTTCTCCGTTTTAGAATGACACTATGATGCTGATGATGGTGGCGACGTATGTAAGATGAGGCTGACAGCGATGCCTACCGTTCCAGCACATGACAGCCTAAGAGGACAAACCCGAAGCCCTAAATTTCAGCAACAGTCTCCATTACGGCCCATTGCCCTTGTTGTGCGTTACACCGTGAACCAGGGCTCTGCAATCTATATCCACGTCCAAGAGGGCAAAACCTATACTTCAAAACACAAAAACCTGAAAACCCGAAGCCCTAGAAGCCAAAGAAGCTACAGAGAGGAAAGAGTTTTAAAGCCCCAAACTCCCGGCATCTGCATCTACCACACTTAGACCGGCTTAGACCCTTCGTCAGAATCCAGATTCCTGCTGGGAAGCCGCCATGAAATCTTGCAGGCTGCTCCCTGCCCTGCCAGCTTCCAAGCATCGCTCCATTGAGATTAAGGATCAAGTCAAGAATTAGACTAGGACTAGGCTTTTGAGTCTACAGCTGATTGGAAGAACCCAAAGAAATCGTGCTCCTAATCATTCAAGCGCTGGTACCAGGATTCACACGAGGTTTGGGGTGACATTGATCTAGGGTTGCAGGGTTGACGAGCTTATGGTTTGGGGTTGACCGTCTGCAGAAACAGGGACAGCAACAAGAGCGGAATACACATATTATAAAGCTGCAATCGCAACTACAACTACAACCAGCACTGCTCAGACAGAGGCAATACGTAATGAGCTGCAGTTCCAAGCATTCGTTGTACCCAATCCGAATCTGCAGTTACTCTTATCAGCGCCAAAGCTTAAGCCCTATCATTCCGTACCCTAGGGCTGACGGCTGAAAACAAGCCAACAACAATTTCGGAGTTGTGCATTCGGGCCCAGAGACTTTAGGCGAAACTGACGGGACCTTGAATACTTAAACCAAAGACCCTGCAGCCTAAACTCCTGAACCTGAACCTCGAAACCTTCCAACACCCTGCATCCGGCCCCACGCCTCGGCGTGGCGCGCACACAGGCCACGCACTGCAGTGCCAGGAGCCCAGGGCCTCCATGGGGGTCTACCTGAGCTCATTGCTGCGTTTCTCGGCTTTTTACAGCTTCGGGCGTGTGGGGGTTCAGGCTTGGTGTTATGCGTGTGTCTTTGCGTCTTCAATCTTGAGGGCTCTTTTCCCTCCGTCGTGGTGTGGGGTTTGGGGCCTTCAGGACCTAGCTAGAATTCAGGGTTCAGGGTTTGGAGTTTATGCATTCGGGGTCATGGGGTTAGTGGTACAAAGCTTCTGCACCCCGTCATGTTTTTCATTTACCATCTCACGACAAGTCCACTAAAGCCCCAAAGCCACCGTAAACCACTGCACCCCAACAACCGTAAGGGGATACCTTTAAATAATTGCTAAGCCTTGAAGAAAAACCCATCTGACTCCCTGATATAGGGGCCGTCAGAAATGGAATACGGTTTTGGGGTATGTTAAACTGCAATTAGATTATAAGGAGCCCCAAGGAAGACTGAATCTAGCCTCTATGTTACTATGCGACCCTCCTAATCTGGAGGAGTTGCCCACACTCCATCCTGGCAAAGGATCTGCTGCTCCGAGAGCCTCCACTGATCTCCGCTGTAGGCTTGGGGATGCAGGGATTTCGGG